CAGGATATTATTAGACAAAGTGTTTGTCCAGTAGCTTAGATTATAAATAACCCTTGTTCTAGCTCATTTTAAACAATGTAGTATGAACCATGCCAAAAAAAAACAGGCTAGAACATTTTCTTCTCTCCAAGATCTTGGTTTTGTAAACAGGGCTGTGCTCCTGGAACTAATCTAGGTCATCATAACCCCAAATCTTTTGAAAGATGAGAACCTCAAGTAAGACTCTTAGGTACTTTTTAATATTTTGAAATTAAGACATGTTTTAGCTCTTAGAAACACAGTATTCTTGGATTGCTGTTTGGCCAGTTGGCTTATTTGTACCATGTCATAATGAATACAGATCACTGAGTAATCATTTCAGCAATGTTTGCTAGGAATCTCCATGCGAGTGGAAATTAATGTAATTTATTATAGATTAATTTGTCCCAGTACTGACCTAACAGCAAAACAGTTTGTTGTTGAATAAGAGGTGATTTAATGAGAAAAACAAAATTTCCCTAATATCCAAAAATGGATAACAATTTAAATTTTTGTTGTTGTTTAGTCCTTTTGCAAGTTAGTTATTGAGCTGTGAAGTGAGTTGTTAAATGTGACATGTTTAAGAAACTTTAAAAATATCAGTGTCATAAAAATCTTTCTTTGGTAGTCAAGATTTAAATTTCATCCCCATTGTTATTAATATGGGATACTGCTAATGTATTGCCCTTTCTTTGTCCGAGTGGGTGTGAATCTTTGTGGGTGTGTGAGTATGTACGTATGCATGCACATTCACAGTTCTGTAACATCCCGTAGACCTGATGTTTGCATAGGGAAAGAGGAAACCTAAATTGCTTGAAAGCCAAGTACTGAGCTAGGTAGTTGGTAACTCTTAGAGAAATCATTATCCCCACTTCACAGATGAAGAAATAGATTCAGATAGGTTAAATAATTTGATGGCACAGCTTGTTAATTATAATAAAACCTGAGCCCTAGACTATCTGGCTCTTCTCCATTATGCTGTGCTGCTCTAAGGGATCTTTCCAGTAATGAGGCTAGATATTGTACAAACATGTTCAGACTGCCATCCCCTGCAAAACCACCAGGGTTGATGGTATCCTTTTCGTATAGCACGATGCAGTTTTCAACATAATTTTACCCTATCTTATTTGATCCTTAGAATATAAGAAGATTGCAGGCAAAAAAAAAAAATCCCAACTTAAATGTGAGCGATTTCAGAGAAGTGCTTACAGACACCAAGCTGATGAGAGGTAGAGGTTCGATCTGAACCCAGATCTGCAGCTCCTGTTCAGTGCCCTTTTCTGCTTTCTTTATCTTCTCTGGATTAGATAGGTGATCTTTGGTCATGAAATAGTGAAGGTTTACAGACTGAATCTTGTGTTGTGTCATGTAGTAATCACACTACAGCTACAGCCTGGTTCTCTGTTTAGCAGTCACATCCTGTTTTCCTGTTGTTAGGACAGTTTTGATGTGTAATGAACTGTAGTGGTGGTTATTGAACAAGTAATAAATGGAAAATGTTGACTTGAGAGTTCTGTATTTAAACTTATTTCTTGTTTAACTCCACATTTGCCTTACGGAAATGTATATAAGAAACAAACTGTCAAGGAAAGGATAGTAGTGGTTAAGAGCTCATATGGTAGATTCAGGAAGACCTACATTTGAATCCTGAATTTGCTCAGGAACAAGCCTGTTTCCTCCTCTGTAGGGATAGTGACTGTCCCAGGGTCAGAGGAGGTGGTTCCAGGAAGAGATTAGCACCATGCCCGGCCAGTGGGCCTTACATATACAGTAGCTTTTTAATCATTACCTTTGATGGGTTCTTTTTTTTTTTCCTTTCTAATAGTAGTATTTCTTTTTGTGTGGAAAGTGACCAATCTAGTAAGATTATCTCTAAAATATCTTAAAAGTGAATAGTTTTCAATTATTCTGCCAACAGAGAGTAGATGATAAAACAATTGATATTTAAAATTATTTCATTTTTATATTTAAAATATGTAGTTTAAAAATCATGAGAAATCTGCTTTCCTATTTACTTCTTCACATTATGATAGTGTAAGTAATTTATATTTTTGAGCTGGTTATTGGGAAAACACAATTATGACCCTGTTGGAGGGATGCAAGGGAATAGGGGGTTTTTGATGGTTGGGGGTGGAGAATTGAAAACCTGGGACTAGGATTTAGTATAGAATTTCGTATTATTCAGATTCCTAACTTTATACTCCTGAGACCTGCAACATAGGTAATGAGTCATTATGTTATAGCACACACATTCATAGCTTTGTATACCAAGATGAACAAACCAGAGAGAAGCAAGCATTTTTTAGAATTATATGAAGTACCATTTTAAATTTATTAGAAAACTGGCAGCCCATTTCACTAAATAAATGATCTGGGAGCATTTCACTAAATAAATCTCTTGGTTTGGTTATACTTTTGAAGATGGTATGTCTCTTGGAGCTCATTTTGTTAACTTACAATTACTTATTTTAAAGGGTGTTTTTTATTTATTTTTTAGAGAGGGGAAAGGGAAGGCGAAAGATAAGGGCAAGAAACATCAATGTGTGGTTGCCTCTCTTGCACCCCCTACTGGGGACCTAGCCTGAAACACAGGCATGTGCCCTAACAGGGAATCAAACTAGTGACCCTTTGCCTCACAGGCCAGTGCACAATCCACTGAGCCGCACCAGCCAGGGCTTTTGATAACTTACAATTACGTGTTTCTGACTGAATTTAATTTGTTATCTGTAAGTTCTTTTTGTATATGATGTTAACCAATAGTTTAAGATTGTAGATAAATGATATCATTAGCCTTTAATTAAAAAGTTTAAAAACGGAAGTAGTCCAAAACAATTTAGGGATTATATGTTACTCCTTGTTTGAAAGATATAAGAAGAGGTTAATTTTGAATTATAAAGTCATTCATCTAAAAATTAAAAATAACAACTTACTTCCTATGACTAGAAGCTGTAGTCATACAGCTTCTAGGAGCCATAGTCATACTTCTAGCCGTATGACTTGAATAAACAGAATTTTTTATTTTTCATAATTCTTCAGTTATAGTTGTCACACCTTTTCCCCCATTGCTCTCCCCTTTACCATGCCCCCCACTCCCACAGTCAGTCCTTGCCATTGTCCATGCCCATGAGTCCTCTATTTATGTTCCTTCTTATTCAAAGAATGCAAATAATGATCCTTGTTCTATTTACCTCCTGTAGTTGTGAAGTCAAGTCAAAGAGTATATGTGTATAAATCAATCATCGTGCTGGTAAGCAATATTGTAGGCAAACATAGTGCCTCTCTTTAAAGTACTAACAGAGAGACTTCCACCAAGATGGAGGCGTAGGTGGAGACGCCGTGCTTTCTCCCACAACCAAGTTGAGAGACAACAGAATATTAGCAACAGAAAACACAGCCAGAACACAAAAAATAAAACTTTTTGGAAGTCTGATAACAACCAGTTCTTCAGCCTGATTGGTAAGAGGGACAAAGCCAGCAGCTGGTGGAGCAGGGTTACACAGAAAAACTCGGTCAGATGGACTAAGGCGCGTGGATCCCAGGCGTGGGGTTGCAATGGGCGGACCTAGTGAGCAACCGGCGTACCCAGCAAGGGTGCAGGGTTGCAGGTTGACTGTGGTCCTGCATTCGTGCATAGATAGACCAGCGAGGGAGGGGACAGTGAGATGACAGGACCACGCAGGCCCCAGTGGCAAGAGGCAGCAGAGGGGGCCGCCAATTCCCCGCTCAGACCCCGCCCCCACATACAGCATCACAACCCAGCAACCTGGGCACCCCGCCCTGGTAAACACCTAAGGCACGAACAGACCAAAAATGGCTCAAGAAGATCTCAAAGCCCCAGAGCCCATAAATCTAAGCGAACAAGAAATAGCAAAACTTTCAGATGCACAGTTCAAAACACTGGTGATCAGGATGCTCACAGAACTGGTTGATTTTAGTCACAAATTAGAGGAACATATGAAGGCTAAACTAATTGAAATGAAGGGAATTGCACAGGAAACCAATAGTGATGAAGAGGAAGCTGGGACTCAAATCAAGGGAGTGAACCAGAAGGAAGAACAGAAACAAGAACTCAAAAAAATGAGAAGAGACTTAGGAACCTCCAGGACATCTTTAAATGCTCCAACATCCGAATTATAGGGGTATCAGAAGGGGGAAAGGAACAGCCACCAGTGGAAAACTTACTTGAACAAATAATAAAGGAGAATTTCCCCAATCTGGCAAAGGCAATAGACTTCCAGGAAATCCAGGAAGCTCAGAGAGTCCCAAAGAAGTTGGACCCAAGAAGAAATACAACAAGGCACATCATCATTACATTAGCCAAGATTAAAATGAAGGAGACAATCCTAGAAGCAGCAAGAGATAAGGGGACAATCACCTACAAAGGAGTTCCCATCAGACTGTCAGTGGATTTCTCAAAAGAGACCTTACAGGCAAGAAGGGGCTGGAAAGAGGTATTCCAAGTCATGAAATCCAAAGACCTACAACCAAGATTACTCTATCCAGCAAAACTTTCATTTAGAATGGAAGGACAGATAAAGTGCTTCTCAGATAAGATCAAATTCAAGGAGTTCATCATCACCAAGCCCTTATTATATGAAATGTTAAAGGGACTTAGCTAAGAAAAAGAAGATAAAAAAGATGGACAGTGAAAGGACAGCAAACTCACAGTTATTAACAACCACACCTAAAACAAAAGCAAACTAAAAGGACAGCTAGATCAGGAGTGGAAACATAGAAATGAAGATCTCATGGAGGGTTCACAACAGGTCAGTGGGAGGAGGAGAAGGGGGGAGAAGGTACAGAAAATAAGTAGCATAGACGGTAGGTAGAAAATAGATAGCAGGGAGGGCAAGAATAGTAGGGGAAATATAGAATCTAAAGAACTTGAGACACGTGGTCATAAACTAAAGGGGGGAATGGTGGGGGAGGGGGTGTGCAGGGTGGAGGGGAATGAAGGGGGAAATAAAACAATTGTAATGGCATAATTAATAAAATATATTTTAAAAAATAAAGTACTAACAGTGTGATGAAGGAAGAGAATTTTATTAAACCAGTCATTTTGCAAATAATTACTTAACATTCTATGAGCCAAGTACTAAGAAAAAAGTATAGGGATCCTGACTAGTCTTGGATCTAGATTAAAGCTGACCAGGGAGAAGAAATTTAAGCTGAGAACATCAATTGAACGGGTTGTGGGAGACCACTCCTAGTGGAAGAGAAATAGTATTTGCAGAGAAGTTGAAGGGTATTTAGTCAGCAAAAGTCCAGTCTGGCTGGCAGTGAGCACCCTTTAGCCTTCACAGCAGCCCTATTTTATGGCTAAGAAAACTGAAGCTCAGAATGCTTCAGTAATTTATATAGGGTCTTAACATTTTGCAAATAACAGATTAGCCATTGAACCCAGGTTGATTGGCCTAACTCCCAAATCTTGGTTTTGTCTACTGTGCCATTCTTTCTCTGAGTCACTTATCTCATGGGCTTATTGTGCTTCCAAACACATCTTTCTTCTAGCTATTTCTCAGAGGGCTTAGCAGCTCTCTCTCCTGCTAATTGTGAAGCCAATGATCAGGTTCTTTCTCTATGCTAATGTAATAATGAGGCTTAACTTTTACAGTATGTACACTGTGTACTCTTACTTGTATACTATAGAATAGAGATTTTCAACCTTTTCCATCTCACGGCACACATAAACTAATGGCTAAAATTCTGCAGCACACAAAAAGATAGTTTTTGCTAATCTCACAAAAGAATAGGTATAATTTTGGTTCATCCACACCAACGGCTTGTTGTTTTGGCTGTTGTTATTTTTATCTTTGACACTCTAAGGGAAAACAGGTCAGTCCCCCTGACTAAGTAATCAGGTATTGCATGTTTTAAAAATTCTTGCAGCACACGGGTTGCAAATCACTGCTCTAGAACTCCAGGGATCCTAAAAGCTTTTTCAGGGGTAAAAATCTCATGGGTTCTGGAGCTCATACAAAAAACCGCAGTGACGTCTCACTTAAAAATAGCCTCGTGACACTCATGGGGTGCTTTAATAGAGCCAGTGTTTCCATCAGCCCCTGCTTTTTAACCCCTAAGAACTCCAGAATAAGATCTGAGTAATAATAACACTGTGTTTCTGCTGTAGCCTCTGCCTACTGCCACTAACCTCCCCCATATAAAAATCCTAAAGCCATCACTAACAGTGAGTGCATTTTATTGGAAGAATTAAAGTAAAAAGGGTTTCATTGCTTTAAAAGTTTCAAAAACACTATTCTAATCTTTGTGATGTTCTGGGGAAGTATCTCCTGCTAATGAGTTTTTTTTCTGATCCTTCATATCTGCTTATCTCCTACTACCTGCATTAACTTGCCCAAACATCTTTGTAAACTGGGGAGAGATTCTGTTGTTGTTCTTAAAGCTTGTGGAGACAATACAGATGGGTATATTGGAGCCCAGTACTTGAAACCTGAAAAAAAACTATATCTGTATTTCCAGATAATTTTATGATAGGTAAAATAAGGGCATTCAGGCTAAAAATGTTGTTTTATGTAAGAAAAGATTGAAATTTAAAAAATTTTATTCAGTGTTATCTTTACTGAATTTATTGGGGTGACATTGATTAACATAATTATATAGATTTCAGGGGTACAACTCTACATCTGTACATTGTATTGTGTGTTCACCACTAAGAAGAGATATTTTAATGCCAATATTGAGTTAAATCTTTCATTTTGGTCAGAGTTTACTAAGTAAACTGACTGTTTTTCCTTCTTAAATCTTTGTCTAATCAATCTGTTAACCTCAATTTTTCTCGCTGTCATAAAGGTACTGCATAAATTCGGGGGGAGCTGTTTTAGGCCCTCACCCACTTTAATTAATGGCTCATGCTTTCCTAGGAATTGTGAAGTTTATTGTAAAGTAACTCATAGTTCTAGGTAGATGGAGTTTGATGCTTTATTCTAATTGTTGTAAAATTTTGTATTTCTGTGTTTTCAGGGGGTGTCCCTTGGTAGAACCTGATTTACTTGAAATGCAAAGTAATAAATCAATTCCTTCTACCACCCTCTTTGTCCCCAGTGTTTTATGTGAAACACTGACTGAAATGTTTGCCTTACAAATTTCTCTTTTTAAAAGCACCCAGAGACACACATTTTAGGGGTTCATGCTAGATACTCTGTCATTATGGCTCTACTGTTCTTTCCTTTCAAGTTGCCTAAACACAGCTGAGTTGGTGAGAGGAGCAAAGACAACAGGATAGTGCTGCCAAGTAGACAGGAAGCCGTAGTGGACCTAGCGAGCAGGGGCGGCTGAGCACACCCTCTGTCCAATCAGCTGTGAGTGCTGTTGCTATGTGCACTCTTACTCTGCTGCCTTTGTGAAAAACCTTAGAGGGAAAGCGGAATCAGCACCCACCACTGAACGTTTTAACCACTGCAGACATCTGGATCCCTCAGTTACTGACTGTATAGCAATTGACAGCCAGAAGGCAACTTCTTTTATACAAGGATTCCAGTATGGTTTTCAGTGGAAACAAAGGGCTTCACAGAGAAGGTGTGTAATGAAGTGTTTTTAACGGCATTATTTTTAAGCTTCCAATTTTCTGTAGTTGTTTACCAGTTGTGGTGTTTGCTTTGCATGGATTTTTAATAAATAGGTCAAGAAAAATGATCTCACTTTGAAAAACATTGAACTTAGGGAATTTTATTTAGCTTCATACAGCCTGTTTCTTTGAACAGCATTGCTTTAGAGATTATTAAAATGCTGATCTGAACAATGAGTAGGAAGAAAAGAAACCAAAATACAATGAGCTCACTATAAAGGGGAGAAAATAAGATAAAAATGAGAATACTGGAAAGAGAATAAATGTTCGGCAGAAGCATTAACTGTATTTGGGGGCAGGAGGTATTTTTTAATATAAAAGCTGTTAAGGAGAATGTATTTAAAATAAGTTATATGTTTTTAACTAAAAATTATTGTTTATGAATTTGACAGATTATCAGAATTTAGCTTAGTGAGAATTTTGACATAGTTTAAGGAATTGATGTACTGTTTTACAAAGGATTTCTGAAGATGCTACCTCAAATTCTAGTCTCCCAATTATTTGATGTGTTGACTAGTTCTGTGCAATTCAGATAAAGGATGGTAGTATATGTAATCCAACCGCAAAGTTGGTGTTGTATTCTATTGCACAAGACATCATAAATGGTTAAGATCATATTTTAAAACTAAAGTAGGTCTCTTAGATATGATAATTTCATATTTGAATTAGTTAATGATAGGAGAATGTAGTAGAATCTTATTAAATTAAACCTCTACTAATTTAATATTTGTAATAATTGAACAGAATGTTGGTTACAGTTTGGTTTTATGGGATTTAGAAAAGCCAGTTTATGTAACTGAATATAAGAAAGTTTTAAAATGTCTTAGATAAACAAAAGCTTTTTTTATGTGTTCTTAAATACTTTGAAATTATAGAGTTTACGTAGGTGATTTAGCTAATGATTTTTTAAAATTAATTAAAACAGAACAGAGAACTAATTAGCATATTGCCCTTTTAGGAACAGGTTTCTTTTGCTCATTCAGTTTCACCTGGTTGTGTAAGTGGCTCCTTAATTTACTTAGTGATTTATATCTGATGAAATAAAATTACTATAATATAAATTAAAAGTTAATATTTAAGCTTCATTTCTTATCTTTACAAATATATCTTAAAATTGGATTTGTTTCAATAATATTCTTTTCAAGAAGTACCTGTCATTAGGAAAGCTTAGCAACCAATGTTAGCATTATTTGATAAGTGATTAGATAATTCTTTTTTTTAACAGAACTCAAAATATATCTCATGCTTTTGTGTTGATTACTGATCATTTTTAATGGTATGTGTAATACTTGAAGAATTTAGAGTAGATGCAAATATACAAAATAAATTGTCCTTAAATATTAAAAAGGTATGTTACATCACATGTTGCTGACATTTAAGAGACTCTGGCATTTCTCATTTTTTCCAGTTGGTAGGTGTAGCCCAAAAGTTGAACTTCATAGAAGTTATAATAATTATAACAATATGAAGAGAGCTATTATATTTTTTGGATTTAGTGACCTCTACAATCTAAAGCACTTATTTGCTGACGGGGAGCAATGAGGCAGGGAAGGGATAGGAGACAGAGGTATGTTGAGAGCATTAAGTAACAACTGATGGTATGGAGGCCAGTCTAGTCATTTCCAATGTTTGAGCTATTACTCTCCTCAATTACTGTTTTTTAAACAAATTATAAAGCTACAAATACCAAAGTTTTGCTTAAATGGGTTTGCTACTCTTTTCTCTTTGGTTTATTAAGAATTGATAGGTTTCCAAGAGCAGGCTGATTTCATTCACAGGCTGCAAAAGGTAAAGGAAGGTGCTATTGGCCAGAAGGTTGGGCTTGTTGCAGTGTCCCACAAAAGCGTGGCCTTTGTGTTGCAGGAGGAGTGGTCTTGGAAGAATCCCAGATTTTATTCCTGGGCTCAGCACCTAAATCTTTTTTTGGGAAATAAATGAAAGTTCCTGTTCAATATCAAAACCTTGGGATAATAATGGATGTTTATAATTTGATCCAATGTAGTAATAGAGTATTTCAAGACTCTGAATTTACTTATTATTTGACAACAGAGTTTTTGCTTTATTTTATGTCAGATCTTTAAACCTAAATCAGTTACACACTTGTGTGCTTATAAGTAGAAAAATACTTCAGTTCTCAAAAATAGTGATTTTTTAAAAAAGAACTTTAACTTTTATGTTTTGATTAGTGTACATTCAGTATTATTTTGTATTAGTTCCAAGCACAGTGGTTAGACCGTCATACCTGACAGATTGTGCCCTCTGATGTTTCCAGTTCCCACCTGCCACCATCCATAGTCATAATATTATTGACTATATTCTCAGTGCTGCACTTTACATCCCTGTGGCTGCTTTGTAACTACCAATCTGTATTTCTCAATCCCTTCCACTCTTTCACCCCCATCCCCTCTGGCAACTGTCAGTCTGTTCCCTATGTCTGTGAGCCTGTTTAAAAAAAATAGTGATCTCTTTTTTGTCTTGGCCACTTCAAAAAGAGTAGCTAAAAGAAGTGCTCTGTTTATCAGATGTAGTGGTTGCTGTAACTGCTTTTACTTTAAATAAATTGTTTTTGTTTATTTTGAAATCACCAGACAATATTATGTAAGATGTATCTCATTTATAGTTCTTCAGAAAAATTGTGCGATTTAAAACATCAGGTTGGAAAAGGATAAAAATGTTTTTCTTTTGCTCTAGAAATCTGTGAAGTCTTTTTAAAAATTACTCTACTTTGAGTATTATCCCAAATGTTTGATTCTGATAAGTATGCCGTGTGATACAATGTGTCTTTGACTTTTCCTTGTAGAAATTCATTAGTTTATATTCTAATTTCAAAAAAAGATTTGATTAGCATAGTCAGCTAGGCAAGGAAGTTTAGTCTTTTTTTAAATTTTATTTTATTGATTTTGCTATTATAGTTGTCCCAGTTTTTTCTCCTTTTGCCCCCCTCAACCCAGCATTCCCCACTCCCTCAGCCAGTTCCCCCACCCGTTGTTTATGTCCATGGGTCATGCATGTAAGTTCTTTGGCTACTGTGTTTCCTAGACTGTACATGTACCATACATCCCCATGGCTGTTCCGTAAGTAACTACCTATTTGTACTTCCTGACCCCCTCACCTCCTCACCCATTCTGCCACACATACCCCTGCCCATCTGGCAACCATAAAAAAAAAAACACTCTCTGGATCCATGATTCTGTCTCTGTTTGTCTTTGTTTTTGTTTGCTTTTCAGATTCAATTGTTGATAGATATGTATTTATTGCCATTTTATTGTTCATAGTTTTTATCTTCTTTTTCTAAAATAAATCCCTTAAACATTTCATGTAATAATGGTTTGGTGGTGATGAGCTCAAAATCAGAGACCTGAGTTTTAAATATATAGCTCTTTGCAGAATTGCTTGAATTTGATTATATAATCTTTTGTGATGAGGCCAAGTTAAAAGTGGTAGAATAAAAAACTGGAAGTATCTTCTTGTTTTTCTAAACTGGTCTCAATTTTCTTATTGAAAGACTTTTGAACATTAAAGGATTTGAATTACAAGGTCTATGATAAGCCCAGGGACATTAAAATAATAAATTATACTAAGTTGTCAAGAGAGAGTACATAAATAAGACTCATACATAGTTGGGCTTTAGATTTTGCTATAAGCCTCTTGTCATACAGAGTATGAAAAGGGAACTCTACCAATCAGTTCTCTATGTCCCTATTATTTAAAATTTTATTGCTAATTTGGCCACCAAAATTTAAGTTGTTTTCTGTTTGCTTAATACTTTGACTTTTGGGTTTTTTTTTTCTGGCTCAGATTTAGTATAGCTTATCTATCCTGTAAGATTTATTACTATTTAGCTTTGTGATATTGTTCCTGGTTTCATCTCTTTGAGCCTTAGTTTCTTCACCAATATAAGAGGTGTTACAGTGATTGTGGAGTTTAAATTGAAAGAATATATGAGAACTACTTAGATTAGTGACACAGAGTTAAGAGTCAATAAAATGTGAGATTTAATTATAATACACTTTTCTTTAAAATTTTTCTACAATTTAAAATTTTGAAAATTTTCAGTATAGTTTATTTACACTTTCCCCCTGAGCTTTATAAGAGGTCTGTCCAGAAAATATCCAGCCATGCAGATATGAAAAATAGACATTTATTGAAGAAGATACAAGAAACATTGTACATAGAACAGTAACGATTCAGTCCCCTTCAAATTAGGCACATTGGGAACTCACACAGTTCTCCCAATTGCCATCAGCTGCTCTGTCTTATTTTCCTAAATCTCATCAATGGTCTGAAATTTCTTCCCCTTCAAAGGTGATTTTCATTTTGGGAAAAGCCAGAAGTTGCAGGGCACCAAATCTGGACTGTAGTGGGGCTGAGTCACCTGGGTGATTTGATGTTTCACCAAAAACCTCTGCAGGAGACCTGATACATGAACAGGTGCGTTGTTGTGTTGAAGCTGCCAATTACCAGTTACCCATAGCTGCAGCCTTCTGAATCTTCCAAGTAGTTTCCTCGGAGAAATATTCAAGCCTAATGCAGAACCTAATGCAGATTTATTGCTCTACTTGCACAGTCATTTTTTAAGATTGTATTTATTTATTTTTAGAGAGAGGGGAAGGGAGAAATGGAAAGAAACATCCGTGTGCAAGAGATAGATTGATCAATTGCCTCTCATACATCCCCAACTGGGAATGTGCCCTGACTGGGAATCAAACCGGTCACTTTTTGGTTCATAGGCCAGCACTCAATCCACTGGGCTATACCAGTCAGGGCTTGCTCAGTAATTTTGATTGTGATGGCCGCACGTGCTCACTCAACAGCATCTACCACCCCCACTGACTAATACAGGCAAGTCATCATTGTTCACACAGGCGCATTCCAGTCCACACTCCTTGGCTGCCAGGTTACATTAATGTTGTGCAAACCATTCTTGTCATATTAACAATGGTTGGACTTT